AGGTATGTCGTAGTGATGGAAGTAGTATCCCCAAGGATCCCATCTATTCATAAGACCATGCCAGAGGCACAGTGTTCATGCAACCTGTGCCTCTTGTTCTGACATGATGTTTTGAAACCATAAACTTGTGTGATAAAATTTCTGATAGATTCTGAGACAAAGTATGTTCAGTTTAGTGCCAGAACCTTTCTTTAAAGACTTAATGACTTTCGTCATCATGAATGCATCTTTGCAGCCTCTCGATGTGGGTAGAGAATTTAAGCCCCAATTCCCTAAGGCATCTACTGTGTTCCTTGCTTAGTCTTTATGGATGATATTAACAATCTATAGTTCTTAGGAGAATTGAGATATAAATCACTCAGATCACTTTCAGTATGATTTTATTCTTATTGAAAAAGGCTAGGAGAAGCCAAACCATATACCTAAATTCAGGCCATGGATTTCTAAATAAATGAATTTTCTCCTTGGTCATTATTGACTTGAAAATTGAATGGTGAATTGAGAATAGAAGACACCATCTGTATACACTGATTTTCAAGTATGGTCCTTATCTTCTGCTTCATCTGAGAACTTGTTGGAAATGTAAATTTTCACACCCCATCTTAGTGCCATTTGTTCTGCTTAATTGAAATACTAGGAATGAAGGGAGTAGGGTCAGCAATTTGTGTTTCAGAAGCCCTCCAGGAGACTTTGGTCTAAAATAAAGTTTGAGAATCTCTGCTCTATGCTGTCCCCTGACTTCTGCTTGAATTTTTTCTTCAAAGTACTCAAGCGTATATGTTATCTAGTGTTAGAAAAATCCAGATGTGATTCCCTAATTCATCTTGTTTTCACAGACCCTCTCCTGAATTCATTCCCAGTGGATAGTTGACATTTCGGATCAGCTAGCTAGGGAGTTAATTTACAAATTGGATCATTTTACTTTGCTGGTTAAAATTCTCCAGTGTGATACAGAAGAATCCACTGTATTTTCCCCAGTTTTAATACCAATTTTTTACTGATTTGCTATAATTACGTATGTTTTTAATACTTTTTTTTCCTCCTCCTGATTTATAATCTAATCACATTTTGCTTAATGATTCTGACCAATATTAGGACCAATATTGGTCACTGTGACCTCAGGAATGGATTTGATACTTTCATGTGTCATTTTGAAAAAAAAGCAAAGACTATATGGCAGAGGTGCCTGCTAAACCTAAACTGTTTTCTACTCTATTTTTGTGAAAAAGTTTACTGACTCTTATTCTTTGACATTTATTGAGGCTTGCTTTATAGCATACTATACATAGACCATTTTTTAAACCCAAATATACTTGATCAGAATATATAATTTTTAATCATTAAGTACAGGTTTCTGGTATGTTCATTAACTTATTACATTGTTCATGTACTATTTCTTTACTGCGGTTTTTTTTTTTTTTTTAAAGAATTATTTCCTTTTTTTTGAGACAGAGCCTCAAGCTGTCCCCCTGGGTAGAGTGCCGTGGCATCACAGCTCACAGCAACCTCCAACTCCTGGGCTCAAGCGAGTCTCCTGCCTCAGCCCCCCAAGTAGCTGGAACCACAGGTGCCCGCCACAACGCCCCGCCATTTCTTGGTTGCAGCTCTCATTGTTGTTTGGTGGGCCCAGGCTGGATTCGAACCTGCCACCTTAGGTGTATGTGGCTGGCGCCCTAGCTACTTGAGCCACAGGCGCCGAGCCAGAATTATTTCCTTTTTAAGGTCTTTTACTTGTGACTGACTTGAAATTCAGTAAGGCCTTTTTTGATTCATTGAAACACAGTGAGGTCTTTCAGCTTCTACTTTGATGATTTCTCTTGAAAGTCTGTATGTTTTAACTAAGGCTATTAGGGCATACAAATTCAGAATGTTTAAGTTGTATCTTTTATTAGTTTGTAGATTTTTAACAATTCCTAGTAATTTTCGTTTTAAACCTCAGTGTTTTGTATGAGCTGATATTTTTCTTTCTTTCTTTTTTTGAGATAGAGTTTCACTATGTTGCCGTTGGTAAAGTGCCATGGTATCACAGCTCACAGCAACCTCAAACTCCTGGGCGATTCTCTTGCCTCAGCCTCCCAGTAGCTGGCACTTTAGGCACCCACCACAATGCCTGGCTATTTTTTGTTGCAGTTGTCATTGTTGTTTAGCTGGTCTGGGCTGGGTTCGAACCTGGCAGCTTCAGTGTAACATGGCTGGTGCCATAATCACTGTGCTATGGGCGCCAAGCCAGACCTGATATTTTCAATACTGCCACCAGTTAGGTTTGGGTTTTTTGGTTTGATTTTATTGTATCCCTTAACTTTCAACCTTTTTTGTCTTGTGTTTATTGTGTAGATCTACTGTTTGTTGTTTAGCAATTCATTCTGTAATTCTAAGTTTGTTTATAGTTATTGTGACTATTGATGTATTTGGTCTTATTTCTGTTTGTTCTGCTTGATCTGTACTTTGTGATAGAATTTACCACTTTTCTCTTTTTTTTTTTTTATTTTCTTTTTTTTATTGAACGGTAACTATGTACATTACCACTTTTCTCTTTAGCTGTTGTTTAACCTATCCCCAGACAGTTTTTAAATTTAACAATTACATATTTTTATTTCTAGAAGTTATATTTTCAAATCTGCCTAGTCAAGTTTTATTATACATTATTTAAAAATTCCCTCTTTTGTTAAATATTTCACATAATTATTTTATATCTAATTGTAACAGGAGCTGGATTTTTTTTAAGTATTAAACTTTGTAATGACTTCAGGAATACAGCACTCAAGAGAAAAAACAGGAATGAGAAGTGGTTTGAGACATCTTGTATGGCCGGCTACCCGGTAGCCTCCTCTCCCCTCTAGTACTTTCCTTCCCATGTTAGACATCGTGGCCTAGATAATTCTTAGTTGACCTATGCCAGAAGCCAGTACTCGTAGTCCCTCTCCAACTCCCTTCCAGTTGTGATACCCAAAGCCACTCCAGATATTTCAAAATGTTTCATGGTGCTAGGTCTGTCTGGATGTTCCTGGTCTCCCAGCTCCCACTGTCAATCAAGACTGAATTCTGGTACAATGACAGTGTGATCACAGACATAAAACAATTTTACATCAACAGTTTATCACAGGAAAGAAGAATGAAAGTAAAAAAGAAAGCTGAGGAAGTATAAATAAGTTCTAGGGAGAGAGGAATGGGTCATTCTCCACAAATAGAGAAACACCCAGAGTCTGAGCACATGCTGCCTTTTCTAAGCTTACTGGTTTGCTTGCTGCAGGATGGGTGGTTGTTTCTTGCCCTTTGGGGTAATTGATAGACTGTGGTTATAGAATATGTTATGTCACAGGTTATAAAGCAGGGTGGTTATTTAACAGTTTCTTCTTCTACTCATGGATCTTTCCTAGAATTCTTCATGAAGCTCCACCAATGCTATGGTAATTAGATGGTAATGAGCCCCTGGTCAGTTGGAAGTCACTAGGAACTTTTTACTGTGTACATTCCCACCAGGAAACAATTCCTAGCTGCAATTTGGTTCTGAACTACAATTTGGTCCCTGTTCTTCACTGTTAGCCACATCCCTGTCATCTGTTTACCTTCCATGAGACCTAATGTTGTCTGGGTCTTTCTCCACTTGTGGAGACTGACAATGTTCCTCTTTCTCTGGAATATATTTACACTTCGTACAGCTTCCTCATTTACATTCTTTCTTTTCTGTGATAAACTGTGTAAAATGTTCTGTGTCTGTGATCACTATGTCATCAGCTTGACTTGGTTCAGACTGTCCATGCTGGAATTAACATACAATATATGTACAATTCACCCTCTTGTAAACAATGATCTGACTTACCTATAGCTCACACATACCAGCGGAGGGTATTGAAGGTAATAGGTAAATGTACCTGTTCCAACTTACATGCAAATTCAGCTTGAAAACAAACCTATAAAACTGGTCTTGTTCGTAACCCAGAGACTGCCTGTCCCCATACTCATTCTTGACACAGAGCCCAGGGGCCAGGGAATACAATACCAGCCAGACCTAGCAGTGGGAGAGCAAACTAATCTCTAGCTGAGAATTACTTTAAGAACTTGTGTAGCTTATGTGATATCCTTCAAGTAGCCATGCCTTATAAATTTATAGATTTTAGCTGGGCAATAATAAGCCATCTTTAACCAGAATAGTATTTGTCTGTTTGTCTGGAGGTTAGTTGTTCAGTTGTCTGCATCTTAACAAGGAGAATTAGACCAGGTTATCTGACTTCTCATTTTCTCCGGGTGTTCTTCTCTTTATCAAGCACTTTAATTCTTTCCTTTATTTTCCAGTCTCCTCATTACCATTATCTTCTCTTCATTCTTTCCTTTTTATTCATTTACCAAATAATTATTTAGTGCCAAAATTATTCCAGGCCCATTCTGTTTCCTGGAGAGATCAGTAAAATAAATGTTCTTTCTACATCGTGAAGCTTACTTTTGTGGAGTGAAACAACATGTAAATCAGTTTTAAAGTAAAGGAGAAAATGTCACATATTAATTAGAGCAGTAAAGATAATTATATTATTTTACTTTGATAGACAGTGACTGGGTAGTTGTCCTGTTCCTTAGAAGGAATGGTTAGGAAAGGCTCCGTCTTATGATGTATCTTTTAAGCCAAGGTGCACATGTCAAGCCAATTATAACATGGGGGGAAGAGCATTCTAAGCAGAGGTGGAATCACTAGAAAGTTGTAAAATTTGAAATCAGTGACTACTCAATAAAATTGGGGAAAAGATGGGCAAGTGCTGTTATCTCTCTCAATAGTATTGACGGTACTAACACAGTATTTGAGGCCTGCACTTGGGAATTTGTAGAGCTAACAGAATGTTATAGTAGTTAGAAACATATATTTGTTGTATGCTTCTCCAACCATAGCCAAAGTGTTATGGAAAAAAAAAAAACTTCACAAGTCAAAGTCAAAAATATATCAGGAAAATGTTTCAGCATTGGTGGCAATTGCTTTTTTAATTAATTTGTTTCTTTTTTCTCTCATATAGGTCAATTTTTTGAGTTTGATTACCTCTCCAACCTCCTCCAACCGGATAAATATCATATTGTTTGGTTTCTGGTTATATGGATCACTGACTGAATAATAGATGACTTTACCTCGTCTCACAGGAGCCTTGCGCTCCTTTTCAAATGTCACCAAGCAAGATAATTATAAGGAAGACATAGCTGACTTAAAGGTAAATTTTTTAGATGAAAACCATTGTAAATATAGAGTATGAGCAAATATACGACATTCTTTTTCTCAATTTTGTGTGGTTAAAATGAAAATTTTGTTTAGTGTAAGACCAAATGGTGAATGTGTATACTGATAACCCTCTGGGGATACTTGTGTTAAGTACCTAGAACTGTATTGTCAAAGGGAGTAAATAGAACTGTGGTAATTGAATCCTTTGCTAATTTTTCATTAGTAAGGTCCCTGCCACAGTTAATTTTATAATATAATCCAGTAATTTAACTCTGGATCATGTAAGTTTTTTGGTTTCTGGTAAAATTCTTATCAAACAAACAGAAACAATGTCTGTACCTTAACATGGAAAATATGAATATATACTCTTGAATTCAGAAATTGGTCTTAAAATTGACTTGTCCTTGTAATTGTGAAGAAAGGCATTTAAGACTTTAAAAACACTATTATTTTAAAAGCTACTTTGTAACTCAGCCTTCAGAAATAAATTATAATAAGAAATAGAAAATTAGGCCAGGTAAGGTGGCTCATGCTTGTAATACTAGCACTCTGGGAAGTTAAGGTGGGAAGACCGCTTGAGGCCAGGAGTTTGAGACCAACCACCAACCTAAACAAGAGTGCTGTAGGGAGGCTGAGACAGGAAGGATCGCTAGAGCATAGGAGTTTGAAGTTGCAACGGGCTATGGTGACACCACTTTACTCTAGCTGGGATGACATACTGAGGCTCTTTTTTTTTTTCTTTTTTTGAATGAAAGAAGAAAGACAAAATTATATGGACTCTTATTTTCACTTTTATAGTAAAGACTGACTCCTGCTTTAGTAGTAATTATGGTATGGAAGTTTCTTTCATGCGTCAGTTTTATAAGCAACACTAATTTTACCCTTGCTATAAATGCAGTTAGGTCCCATGAGGAATCTTACCACTTGGGAGCATTACTTTTGTCTTACTGAAATGATTCCTTTAGACTGTTTCCCACATGTTCCTACTGTAACAACTTAATTCATTTAATATTCAATCTTATTTCATATCTTCCTTTGTCCATTCTCCTTTCCCTAAACCCAGATTGACTAGCTCCATTTTAAATTAGAAAACAGCGGCAGGAAAATAATGATGAATTATGTGTTATCATTTAAAGAGTAAAATTATGATTTTTTTTTCTGCCACACTTCTTTTTCATTTGGTTGGAGGGCTTTGTGAGTTTGATCTCTGTATCAAAGCCAGTAGACTGAAATAAAATTTTTATTTGGTTCCATGGTCATTTCTTGAGAACAGAAAGATGTATATAGCATCAAGAAGCCATGGGATAGAAGAGAGTCTCCTGGATTCCTAACCTATTCTAGACTCAGACTTAAGAAAGTAATACTGACTTGAATATGTTGAATCAGCCCTGGGAATCTAATTTTCTATAAATACATTTCATCAAAACGCATGACATAAACTTCTTATTTATATACACTGTGATCTAAACTATGTTAAAAACAAGCAGGTAGACAAACAAAAAGAGGTATGTGAGATAGTACCAGTTGTTACTGTTTGGATGTTGAACTTTTTTTACTTTGCTTTTTACTTCGCTGTATGAAATTGATTTCATAATGACTGTCTACTATAAAACAAAAAGAGCACTTTTATTAAACTATTTTTTAAACAACTGAACGTCTACGAAATCACATTTAAGGAAAACTTGTTCAGGGAGAAGTTTAGATGTGACTAGATACATTGAATTCTTGTGGGCAGTGCCAAATGTAATACAAAATATATGCAATAAGTGATGGATTTGAGAAGAACTTCAACTATTATTTTTTTTGATTATGTTCTCTGTTTCAGATAAAGCGATCCAAACTTCATGAACAAGGTTTAGATTTGGGCCTGACATGGAAGAAGATAATGAAATTTTTGAATGAAAGACTGGAGAAGAGTAAAATGCAAAGTGTAAATGAAGAGTTAAAGGAAATATTACATGCTGCAAAACAAATAGGTATAAGTTTTGTTTTTTTCTAAAGAGCCAGTAAGTTTCGAAAATAGATTCCTTGTAAACTAATAGCTTCCTTATAAACTATATACTCTATAGTAAAAGGCCAAAATTTCCAAATAAGTACTAGGTATTCATAATTCTAAAAGACAGTCTTATCTATCAGTGTGATCAGGGCAGAGGATGTCAAGGTGGAAATAAAGTAGTAATTAGAAGACGATTATGCATGAGGGATTTGTAGGAATTTAGGTTCTGAAACCACTGTCTTGTTTGAAATAGGATAAGGTAAATTAAACATTTAATGCAGCTCTCAGGAACCCTGAATGTCACGTAGTTTAGTCTCTTATAAAAAGGCCCATCTAACACCCAGTGAATGGCAACACTTAGCTGGAGTTGACTTTTCTTCTGATCCCACACTAACATTTTTATCAACTGATTGTATCTCAGGGGAAAGTATAACTTGAAATTGTAATACTGTGTACTTAGGGTACTTTCCCAAGGTTAGAAACTAAATGAAACAAACAACTCTCTGGAAAAATAGCTGTTTGTACTGTGAAACTCATCATATTATCAGACTCTGATAACTGAAAAGAGTAGTTAACACTACTGTAGTTCTAAATTCAGCAGGTTTGTACCTACAAACTGTCCCAACTCACATTATGTTCTTATACGATCTGGCCTCCACCTTTCTCTCTGACCTCACATCATCTTTGGCCATAACCATCTGTGTTTCAGACACATGGCTTTCTCTCATGACATCAAAACAACCCAGCTGGTACCTGTTCGGGGGTTTTTGCATGTGCTGCTCTGTGCCAAGAATGTTCATCTGTTATAATTTTAATATGGTAGATCCTTTCTTATCATTCTGAACTCAGCTAAAAAATTATCTTCTTAATGAGGTCTCTTTAATCTCAGATTGTCACCAAACCATACTTTATCTTATAACTCCCCGTTATTTGACAGTTTGATTGTTTATTACCACTAGGATCAAAGTTCATGAGAGTAAGATTTTATTTTTCTTGTTCAACATTCCATCCTCAGTGCTTACAGTAGTGCTTCATATATTTTAAGGTCTTAATGAAGGTTCATTTGGTAAGTAAGTGGAAAAGCTTTCTCAGGTGAATTCTTAGTAGACGGAGAATTTAGAACTTTACCTTATCATATACTGGTTGGCAATTTTCTTTCTTACACCTAATTTGAAAGGTGTTTCTTTTTTATCTCATAAACTTGGAAACTTCTTATAATCATTTGTCTTTAAATTTTTTCTTCAAATATTTTGAGTTTTAAAAATATATTATTTACCTATCATTGATCTGTAATCTAGTATAATACCGAATTGAATGTCCTCATTGTTTTAAGTTGGGAAAGTACAAAATAAATGCCATATGTAGTTTTCCAGTTAGGTGACCAAGAGCTTCATTAAAAATTGAGTTTGCCTAAGTGTAGGGGAGATATGGCACATTTTGATGGGATTTATAATAGCATTTGGCATAGAATCACATTTCTATTTTTAACTTAGATTCCTAATAAAATAACAGTGAAAATGCAAAATCTCCTAAATCACCTTGACTAGGATTTCACCCTCCTAGTTGTCTTGGTCTCTATTTGTAAGATGTTGGGGTGTTTGGTATCTGACTAAAGTGCTTCTCAGAAACTGTAGTGGCCTTCCTCTTTATTGAAATGCCACAGGATACTCAGCAAAAATAGTAGCGAAACACTGAGCTTATTTAGTACCATGATTAAATGGTTTCTTTATGTAAATGATGGAGAAATTAAGATTTAAAAAAATAAATTATTCTTTGTATTTCTTTCCTGAATATCTCTGGCTACAACACAAAAAACCTTGTCTTAAATACCAGCCATTAATTGTTATCCTAGGGATCTTGCTTGTGGGGAAACATATGATTCATACTTACGGAATAATCGACTGGCTGATATATTGAAGGGATTATTTTAAGATGTAATATCTCATGAGAATATTTTTGAGAGCGATAAAATCTTAGTATTGGATTTGGGCAATACTCTTGTTATACCTACTTTTTTAATGGTGTGCTGAAGTTGAAGTTTTAGCTGTACTAAAACTCATGGTAGAATAGTAGTCAGCCACCCTTTATGAATGAAAGCAGCATTTGAAAAGATTAGTATCATGGAGAGTATATTTTTGTGATTTCTCTTATAGTTTTCTTTTAGCATAGCCAATTTTGGTGTGATTGTATGAAAAGGTGGAGCAACATTAATAAAGAAAGAAAAAACAATTAAATTTCAGTGACATATAATATCATGAAGTGCTTAAGACTATGTGTTTTGTTTGATCAGAATAATTGAAGGTTTAAGCTGGAGAAAACATCAGGGACAGATATCTTGTTTAATGTTTTCATTTGTTATGTGAAGAAACAGGGCCCATGGAGGTTAATTATATCATGGTTGGTGTTTAGTGAAGGTAGGCCTAGATCCAAATTCTGAAACAGAAACATAATAGAAATCTTAGATTTTTACTTTTCCTTTTTCTTGTCAGAAGTCATGAACTTTCAAGTCTACTTTTCAGCTCTTTACTTATTTTGCATATTTACCATTGCCCTATTTCAGAATTTTACCATCTCATGTCTGAACTACTGCAGTAGTCTATTGCCACAGTCTTTCTCTTTCATCTTCTCTGTCACAACAAGACTGGTCTTTGTAAAAGGTAAAGCTCATTTTTATTCTCAATTTACCTTTTCGGCCAAATTGGGTTTATTTTGTTTGCTTTTTTCCCTCTCTCTTCTTTCTGTGTTGTCCAGGCTGTAGTACGGTGGCATTATCATAGTTCGCTATAGCCTCAAACTATTGGGCTCAGGGAATCCTTTGTCTCAGCCACCTGAGTACCTGGATCTATAGGTGTGCACCACCACACTTGGCTACCATTTTTTTCATTTTTTATGGAGACAGGTCCTCACTATGTTGCCGATGTTAAGACCAAATTTTTTAGAATAATTCATAGAAACCTCCTTTATGAATTAACACAATTTACCTTTTCATCCCTTTGCCATATCACATATAACCTTTAAGACAACATGTGCACTGTTTACTATCTTAATTTCCTGAACAGTGCATACTGTTTGGTTTTGTTTTGACCTGTGTTTTTTATTTGTTAAAGTAACTTTCTCCATTATGTTTAGCAGCTGAAATGCTTCTCATCTCTGAAGACATGGCTTAGGCTTAATTCAGTCATGTCTTCCCTGATTCTTTTCTGATCTTGATGGACAGTGTTCCAATAGACTATCACCTATTCATACTTTCTAAGGTTACGTTTCTTATTGCTTGATAATTGTTTACTCCTATCTCTTCTCTGATTGACTGTGATTGCCTTGCTGATACAAGGATTACAGTATTACTACCTCTTTCTACTCCAATGCTTAATATGCTATAAGAGATATAAGAGATGTTGAATAAACACCTGAAGTATTGAGAATCCAACCTAAAGTCCTCTATGGGCTTCAGTTTTCACTGCTTGTAATGCTGATAATGTTTTACAAATGCCAGGTTTTATTCTTCCTTTTTTTTTTTTTCACTTTGTCACCCTGTATAGAGTGCCATAGTATAATAGCTAACAGCAACCTCAATTTCTTGGGCTCAGGCAATCTTCTTTCCTCAGCCTCCCACGTAGCTAGAACTATAGGTGCCTAACATGACACCTGGTTAGGTTTTTTCTATTTTGAGGGTCTCAATTTTGTTCAGACTGCTCTTTTGTTATTTTAAAATATTCTTCCCCTCCCCCATTTACATGTAATATATTCTCATACATTTTACAATTTGATTCTCCTCTCAAGATTATTATAATAATATAGCTGTAGGGAGAAAATATTATACATATTTTTAAAAATAGTATTCTTGGCCCTTAATCTTATTGTATCCATATATTCATTGTAGGCACAGCTATCTTATCTCCTTCATGGATTTTTGAAGGATAAACAGGGTTATACTACCTTATATTTTATTGGCAATGAAGCTTTGTCAGTACACTTTATCAATAGTCAATATGTTCTAAGCAAAAACATTCTGGAAAATAGGTCAAGGTACAGATTGGCAGTCAAAAAATGCATCATGTATTATGCATATGTCTTACTTTAGAATTTTAAATTATCATTTTAGGAGGTTATTAAGATTTTCACAGTGTAAGGTAGAAACTGGGATGGGAGTCAAGAATAGTGGTCAGAGTGGGTAGAAAGTTGTTATATGTAGTAGTTCCTTAATCAGATCTGTAACTGACTATCTTTTATAGAGCCAGAATAGAATTTTGAACTTTTCCCAGAGCACATTGATCTATTGATTCCACTCCTATCTGAATATAGATCAAGACTCAGAATTGAACTATTTTCTTTCAGTATTCAAATTATTTTGCCACACAGAGGTCTTTAGTTTTGCTTTCACTAATTTATAACCCCTGATTTATTTGGGTTTTGACTTTTTTATGTATTTTACCTTTAATAATTTTGTCTTTAAGTATAGTATAAATGGGTTTGGCGCCCGTGTTCAATGGTAAGGGCACCAGTCACATATGTTGGGGCTGGCAGATTCAAACCAGGCCAGGGCCTGCTAAACAACAATGACAAGTACAACAAAAAAACAGCCGGGTGTTGTGGTAGGCCCCTGTAATCCCAGCTACTTGGGAGACTGAGGCAAGAGAATCGCTTAAACCCAAGACTTTGAGATTGCGGTGAGCCGTAATACCATGGCTCTCCACAGAGGGCAACATAGTTAGACTCTATCTCAAAAAAAAAAAAAAAAAAAAAAAAAAAAGGGGCAGTGCCTGTGGCTCAAAGGAGTAGGGTGCTAGCTGCATTTTAAGGCATTTGCGAATTCATTATGGTTTGTGTTTTGTGAAGGAAATAAGACTTTACTATTAAGAAGTAAAGAATAAAAACCTGGGTAGAAAG